CTGATGGGTAGGACACTGTTGGGGTGTTCCCTTTGTTTGCTGCCCCTTCCCAGCTTGAGTATGGGGTGAACTGGCCCCCTAGGGCAAGCTCAGGGGGCACTCGCTGCCCCCCCCAAAATGGTATCTAAGGTTCCCTTCAGAGCCACTGGGAAGAGGCCAACTTGTGGTCCTGGTGACCCCGCTTCTCCCAGAAAGCTGGGGGCTGGAGGGCCTGGTCGGAGGGCCTGAGGGTTCTATCCGGGCAGCTGCTGGGCCTGGAGGGCCTTAACTAAGGTCCGTTTCTTGGGTATTTTCCTGCATAGAGAAATTCTCTAAGCGCTTCATTTTCTCGCTGGGTAGATCAACAGCAGCTTGGCTGGTAGGATGCTTTTCTCTTTTTGCAAATGAGATGGGTGGTTTCCTTCTGCTTCTCTTTTCTTCCGATGTAACTTGTTCTTCATTTGGGAAAACTTGTAAGAGTTTTCCCTTTAATCATGGAATTCAGGAACCTTCCCAGGCTGCGCCTAGACGTCTGGCTTTTTCCATCATGTATGCCTGGAACTCAGCGAACCCTTTTCAAAACCAAATCTTTCTTCAAATGATGGAAAATTTTCTTTCTCATTTAAAAATTATTGCTTATCCTCCATTTTTTTCCTTACAGGCTTTTTATTATTCACACGTTATGTTTCCTGAGTCTCTCTCATCACAGGCGCCTGTTTTTATCCACACAATTTTTGTGCTTAGGGTTTCCACCATTTTCTTCTTCTGTCCCCCTTTGCAAAGCAACAGCAGCAGCTCTCCTGTCCCTCTGTGACTGTGCAGGTGCCTCTTTTTCTTTCTTTTCTTCCTAATAAGCCTGTCCTTTTAAGATGTAAAATATTAAGAAAATAAAAAATGGGGCCTCCCCTGGTGGCGCAGCGGTTGAGCGCTGCGCTGTGAAGCTGCCTGCAGCCTCTGCAGCGCTGGTTCGATCCCCGGCCACCAGCGAGGGTCCCACATGGCGCGACAGACCTCTCCTGCTGCACCCGCTGCTCCCCTCAGCAGTGTACTTCATCAGTCTGCCTGTTCTGTTCCCTGCTCTGGCTCTGGTGAATTCTCTCACCCTCCCACGCTTCTGACTGTACCCAGTGCTTGTATAAATAAATAAATAAATCTTTAAAAAAAAAAAAAGAAAAAAAAATAAATTTAAAACCATGTTTCCTAACCTAGTTAAAGTTCAGCAAAGTATTTTTTTTTAAAGATTCATTTTTATTTATTTATACAAGCACTGGGTACAGTCAGAAGCACGGGAGGGTGAGAGAATTCACCAGAGCCAGAGGGGGGAGCAGAGCAGGCAGAAGGACTGAAGTACAATGCTGAGGGGAGCAGCGGGCGGCAGCAGAGGTCTGTGCGCCATGCGGGACCCTCCTCCAGTGGCCGGGGAGCAGCCAGGGATAGAACCAGCGCTGCAGAGGCTGCAGGCAGCTTTGCAACCCAGTGCTCAACCGCTGCGCCACCAGGGAGGCCCCAGCAAAGTATTTTTTTTAATGCCTCTGATATTTTTTACAGTGCTGTTACTATTTTGTTTTCTTTTTCCTGTTGTGCAGGTGGTAGTTTGTCTGCTTATACAGTTCTGAGTGAAATGCTTTTTCTCCTGACTGTTGGGTTCCTTCAGCTACCTGTTTTGTTCAACTGGTCTTTTTTGTTCTTCAGAACTGCAGTATAAATTAAGTTCCAATTCCCTCCCCTGACCCCGGCTTTACTGGGGCATAAACAACAGATAAAAATTATCTACATTTAAGATTTACATCATGTTTATATACTTACATCATTCATTGTGAAATGATTACCACTATCAAGCTTATCAGCACACCCATCACATCATAGTAACTTTGTGTGTGTGTTTGTGTGTGTGAACACTTATGATCAACTCTTTTAGCAAATTTCAAGTATACAATACAGCTTTATAACTGGAGTCACCATGCTGTAATTTCCATCTCTAGAACTTACTCATCTTGTATAAATGAGACTAAAGTCCAACTTTTCTGGATTCTACATATAAGGAGATTATGCAGTATGCAATATTTGTCTTTCTGTGTCTAGTTTATTTCATTTGGCATAACATCCTCCTGATTCATCCATGTTGCCACAAGTGGCAGGATGTCCTTCTTTTTAGAAACTGAATAATACGCCATTCTCTCTCTCTCTCTCTGTGTGTGTGTGTATATATGTGTGTGTATATATGTATATATATACATACACATATACATATATACACACACATATGTTCACATATGTCTATGTGAACATACAAATACCACATTTTTCTTATGTGGGTCTTGAAATCATTCTGTCTATCTTTTCCACCCATTATGAAATGGAACCAGAAATCAGCAAGAAAACAGGAATTTACACATGTGTGGAAACTAAACAATACACCCTTAAATAACCATTAGGTCAAATAGGAAATCAAAAGAGAATTTAAAAAAATACCTTGAGACAAAAGTAAAACAGAATATATCAAAACTTACAGGATGCAACAGAAGCAGTACTAAGCGGGAAGCTTATTGCTTTTTACTTCCTTTTTTTTTTTTTTAAGATTTATTTATTTATGCATACAAGAGCCAGGGTGCAGGCTAGAGGTGCGGCGGGGGTGGGGGGGGGGCGGTGAGAGGATTCACCAGAGACAGAGCCGGGAACAGAACAGGCAGACTGACTGAAATACACTGCTGAGGGGAGCAGTGGGCGAGACAGGAGAGGTCTGCTGCGCCATGTGGGTTGCTCCCTGGCTGGGGATCGAATTCGTGCTGTAGTGGCAGCGGATAGCTTCATAGTGCTGCGACTTAAGCCCTTGTGCCACCAGGGAGGCTCCCTGCAGCTCTAAGCACCACCACAGTTCAGGTCCAGGTGACAGGCTGGCCATGCCTTGATGTGCTGCTGGAGAGACTACCCTGCATCCCCCCTCTCCAAGTCTTGGGGCTGGGAACTTCTGCAGTTTTCCTAGAACCAAACAAAGCTGCTGGCCCCAGGTCTTTGGTAGATGCCAGGCTTTATCCTGGAACCTAGGAGATCCAATTCTCACCCAAGGTTCTTGCTGCTGCCAGCCCCAGTGGGAGCCAACCCTCTCAGTCTGGAGACCTGCCCACTCTGCCATGCCTGGCTGCTGGCTAACCTTGAGCTCTGCTGCAGTAGAGTGTTTGGATCTGGAAAGAAGGGCAGTCCTCATCCAGGAGGCTTAATTAAAGAGAAGTTCTCAAGTTTCGTGGACGTTGAAGAGATGACTGGGATCAATCATTTCGTCCAGGCTTATAAAAATACATTAGCAGAAAAAAAAAATTGCATTGACTTGAATGAAATGCGCTCCCAGTTCTGTGACAACACATCTAGAGTAGGCAGAACACTGGGCAGGGTTGAAGGAGGCTTGAGTTGTTCTGTGCAGCTTCTGGTTCTGGTAATAATGCAGACTTGTGAAGGGAGGAAGGGACCTCAGATGCTCTCAGTTCTGTTCTTGGCACAACACGATGTACCTACTGAACGAGTTTTCCAAACCGTTGGAAGTGGGGCAGGGAACAAATCCTGCAGAAGGCAGCTGATTTCTTAAAACACCTCCCCCCTCAGCTGCGATGAGGCATGTTCTATTGCCCTTAGGCCACGGAAGTTGTAGTGAGTGAGTCTTCCCTCCTGATGTTGATCAGTGGGTCCAAACCATGGCCCTGCTTCCAAATTTGAATTTATCTTTTGTTTTAAATTTCTTTACCACATGGTAAGGGTCACAGGAATTTTTTCTAAAGTGCTTCAAAGTGAAACTATAGATGTTTTGTCTTTTAAAAGCCAAAAAGGATCATCATCTGAGAGAAATTACGAACGTTTCAGTCACTTGGGACAGAGTGAATAAATTATGCCAAAAAATAATTCCTCAGGACTTCAAAGTTGAAAGATATTTCCTTCAGAAGAAAAGAATTGTGAAAGAAAATAAATGATGGCAATTCGGGTTATGCATTTCTTCTGTTTGTCAGAAGAAAAGTCTTAATATATTTTATCAAGGATGGACTCCTAGATGGTCAGATTTAGATTTACGCTTTCTTAGAAATGATTGTGACAGAGTAAAACGTTTCTGAACTGCCCCACGCAGATGGAACGAAACAGAAATAGAAGTGGTGCAGACATGTGTGAGACTTGTGCAGCCGAAGAGCTCTTTGGATCCCGCCATTCAGAGTGTTTTATGAAACGCTGAAAGTCCCACTTCTGCGGGAATTCATCAATTTAATTGATCTTGGCGGCTTGTTGATTTGACATGGTCTTCATCATCCTGATCCTGGGTCTCAGCTGTCCCATGTGGCAGTGCCGAGAGCTCACTACTACTCTTTGTGGCCTAGAAATCCACTTTTGCTGCCCTATTATGAGACGTTTGTTCTGCTGGTTGCTGACGGACAAATCCCTACAGTGAACTCTTCCTAAGTCTCTACTCTTTCCGGCTACTGGGAACACTCAGAACTCATTAGTTCATTCAGTCTTCAAGCCACCCTTAAGGGATTGTTATCCTTCTTTTCTGGGTGAGGAAAATGAGCTATGAGCAATTAAGTGACTTGTCAAAGTTCATGCAGGGAGTCAAACCCAGAGCCCCCAAACACCAAAGTCAGCGCAACCCCTGTGTTATTTGTAACCAAACAGAAGAAGAGTCGAGGCCTGGTATATTGTGGATTTGTCTGTATTTGCTGAGGTAGAAGTGGTGAAATATTACCTTAATCTAACTCTAAAAACTTTCCATTTCAAGAAGTATGATGTATGTTACATATATTTCTGGATGCTTAGACATTTGAGTAGAGCTGTTTGTGGAATGTCCTCTCTTGATGGGATGACATACAGGACACACATTAAAGTGAAATGCTATGAAATGATTCCTCTGTTATTGAAAAATAAATTGCCCTGACTAAACGAACTGTGGAATATTTATGTGGTGGAACACTATTCGGCAATGAACAGGAAGAAAGCACTGATTTGTGTGCAACCCAGATGAATACAAAAACCCTTATGCTGGACAAAATAAACCAGAACATTCAACAAAACATACAGCATATGATTTTCACTATATTGCCCCACAACAAGATACCACAGCTTAGGTTTCTTAAAGAATAGGAATTTATTTCCTCACCATTCTGGAAAGTCCGATTTTCAGGTGTTGGCAGGGTGTGACTGTTCATTTCTCTCTCCTTAGCTCGCAGATGGCAAACTTCTTATTGTGTCCTCACACAGTCTTCCCTCTGTGTGAATGTGTCCTAACCTCTTCCTCCTATAAGAACATGGTCATAATGACTTCGTTTTAACTTAATGACCTCGTGAGAGAACTTATTTCTAAATACAATCACATTCTGAAGTACTGCAGGTTAGAACCTTGACATATGAAGTTTAGGAGAACACAATTCATTCCATAACAGCAAATCTATGATGAAAATTACCAGTACAGTAGCAGTCCATAGAAGGAGGGGGGGTTGGAAGGGACAAGGAAGGGACACGGCGAATATTCTGGGATTGATGGCAAATTGCAACGTGATAGGATTCCCTAGGCTGTCTGTATTTGTTAGATTTACTGGAATAGTACACTTAAAACTTTTGCATTCCTCAAAGAATACTGACCTCTGATTAATGACATGCAAACCCAGTGTTTAGGGGTGAAGTGTTATGATATCTGCAAATTGCATTGAATTAATTGATGAATGAATTGATAGACCGATACAGCAGTATATCAACAACTGTAGAATCTAGGTGGTAGGTTTATGTGGGTGCTCATTGAATAATCCTTTCAACTTTTCTGTATGTTTGAAATTACTCAACATAATATGTTGAGGGGGAAATATTACTTAAAATAAAATATTCATTTGAAAATGTTAGCCAGACAGTTCTTGAAAAGCCTCTTCAGTGCTAGATTACATTTCCCTGGTAAAACCACCATGACCCCATGCAAAGTCGCTGTGGTCAATGTTTCCCCCAGTGTTTTAGCCCCAGTTCACCAGTGTCCGGCTCAAAGAGCTGATTAGGGAGAGGCCTAAGGAAGTCGGGGAATTCCGGGGGCTAGCTAAGCTATGCAGGCTAGGTGTCCAAGGAAACTGGTGTGCAGAGTTGTTCAAACATCCCTGTATCAAATCCAGAACAGTCTGCAATGCCTTTTGTAAGCCAGGATAGTGTAATTAGGCTCAGGAGGGGGGTGTTGGGGTGGGCATGTGAATGATATGGAGTTGGCAGCACATAGTAGGTGCTCAAGTGCTGAATAAATATTTGAATGAAACTGGAGAGGAGCCTTCAAGGACGTCATCCTCAGGAGAGAGTAAAGTTGTTTGTGTGGTGGGTGGGAAGTGGGGGGAGGGCCGGGGGGGTTGTCCCTGCCTCTGCCCAAGCTTACCCCTAGCCTGGCCAGAGATACCTCCAGAAATGGGCCCAGGAGAGGCTGCCTGGTCTCTGGGTTCCTGGACAGCCAGGGTGAGGGCACCTTGCCACATTCTTAGGCGAGAGCACATCCAAAACAATTTCTTTTTCTAAAAACTCAGTGCTAACGGATTCCAGATGGCCGTTTGTTATATAATGGGGTTTGTTTTAATAGCGTCCGTCAACTTCCAGATGTGCAGCCTGGAATCAAGAAGCCCATTGGCCCCCTGAGAACACCGAGAGCCAAGCTGAGCGCTGCCCGGGGGAGAGAGGCAGATGTACGTGCAGAACCAGGCACGGGAGCGGAGCTGGCAGTGCCTTCCCGCTGCCCACCGGGCCACTCACCTGCCAGCAGCTGGCTCTGCATGTGTGTGTGGCAGGGAGGGTTTTCCAGCCTCCTGTGGGTGAGTCCTGACTCTGAGCAGAGGGTCCCAGGGGGCAGTGACAGAAAGGTGGCTTGAAGGCACACGCTGGTGAATCCTACTTGCACAGGTGCCGTAGGCGACCTTGGTGAGGTCTCTCAGCCTGGTGGAGCCTTACTGCCCTCAGCTGCCGTGCGGATCAGCCCCACATGTGGATCTAAGGAGCCTGGTGACGAGTGAATCGAGGTGACAGCAGAAGTGGCATTGGGAAGCCGTGGCTTTGTCCTTGGCCAGAGTGGAAGGAGGAGGCCCTGGGAACCTGGGGCCCCCCACTCCCCCACCAAGGTGGGACGGTCCTGGGCAGCCAGGGCGACATTTCCCGCGGGACACTGGAAATGCGTGGGTGGTGGAACCTGAGCCCTACCTCTCCCAGCGGCTGTTCCACAGCCCTGTGCACCAACAGATAGCACCTCCTGTCTGCCCGGTCAAAGGGGGCAACTGGGTGACCCTTGGCTGGTCTGAGTTCCACTGTTTGGAGCCCTGCTGAGCAGGCCCACTCCCTCTTCTGCCTGATAACCCGGCGGGACAGGAAGACGGAGATCTGACTCCTCCCCCTCCCCCCCCCACCCCCTGCAGGTGGCTGCAGATATAACACCTGAGGGGATAAGGTTGAGGTGCCCTGAGGAGGGATGTTCAAGATCCCAAAGGAGAAAAGTCCCAGAACCTAAATGTAGTCATAGGAGACAGGCACACCCTTATCTACAGTGGGAACCTCACGACCACAGGAGATAGCTACCCCCATGTTAATCATAAATGTAGTGCAATTCCAACAAAATTCCAGTCTAACTGAGAAGGTAGCCATATAATGTTGACATGGAAAATAAGTGGAGAATAGTTTATCGTTATGGACGGAGAATGAGCCCATCATTCTATGGAAAGGCTAAGCCCCTACAAAGTGGTAATAGGAGGTGATAGGAAGTAATAGGCGGCTTTTGGGAGGTAATTAGGTCAGAGATGAGGTACTCAAGGATTGAATTGGGGTCCTCATGGGAGACACCCCAGAAAGATCCCTTACCTCCTTTTGGCCACATGAGGACACAGTGAGAAATTGGCAGGATGCAATCCAGAAGAGGACTCTCAGCAACCTGACCACGCTGCCATCTTGGTCTCAGACTTCCAGTCTCCGAGACTGTGAGATACTTGTTTTCTGTTTAAGTGGCTCAGTCGATGGCAGTTTGTGACAGCAGCCCAGACAGGTTAAGTCTGGCATGTTTTCTGCAAACGAAGAACATGAAGGCAGGACTTACCCTCCTGGATGGTAGGACACATGGTAAAACTCTAATACTTTAAACAGCATGGTACTGTGCCACCATTAGCAGAGAGGTAAAGGGCACAGAAAATGGAAAGTCCAGAAATAGAACCCACCTACAGAGTCAAACTGAGAATATGGTAAAGAAATGCCTTTCAAACTAAAACAAACTAAGGTTAGCTGGTTACCTTTCGGGAGAGAGACTTGGTGTGGAAGAGTAGTATAGGAGAGAGAAGTGTTTTCATTTTGTGTCTTCAAGATTGTTGGATTTTTCCAAGTTTATATATGTATTACTTTTAAAAAATATCAATGTATTTTTTGGTCAATGTATGTTATCTAGAGACTTTTATCCCTTTTGGGCTTTCTCCTCTGTACAGCTCTGTATTTAAGAGAAACCTCAAAGGTATTATATCAATAACAATACAAGAATATATTACAAACTGTTAATGGCTGTTATGTTGTGGAGGTGGCTCAGGGGACGGCTTTCTCCCCCTAAGCCATGTATTTCCATCACTCTTGGATGACTATATGGTCTCCCCCTGAGTTTTTTAAGAGTTTGCAAGTATAACTTTAAGAATCGAGAAGAGGGGGTAATGAATCTTGAACAAAATAAACAAACCAGTGCAGAAATGATAAATTACTCAGTAAATGAACACTGGCTAACAATTTGGAAAAAGTAAAGTTAGATTTCTACCTTATACCAAAATAAACTTCAGATTTAAATGTTAGCAGTTAAACCACAAAATAACCCCAATACTGATACAATTTTAGGATAAACAATTTTCTAAGACATCAAATAAATAGGTTGATGGATTTGACAGCATGTATATAAACTTTTGTTCCCCTTCAGAACAAAATAAAGGGAAAACTGCAAAAAAATACAAGACAGATAGATATGTAACAAAGAATCAAGAATTGCAAGATAATAGTTCATACAAAGGGCCTCCCCTGGTGGCGCAACGGTTGAGCGCTGGGCTGCGAAGCTGCCCGCAGCCTCTGCAGCGCTGGCTCGATCCCCGGCTGCTGCCGGCGAGGGTCCCACATGGCGCGCAGACCTCTCCTGTCACGCCCGCTGCTCCCCTCAGCAGTGTATTTCGGTCCTTCTGCCTGTTCTGTTCCCAGCTCTGGCTCTGGTGAATTCTCTCACCCTCCTGAGCTTCTGACTGTACCCAGTGCTTGTATAAATAAATAAATAATCTTAAAAAAAAAAAGTTCATACAAAAATTCCTGCATACCATTTTTTTCTAAGCCAACAATGGAGAGGAATTTGATTACAATGAAATGTGAGTTTCCAAAAACAGGCTGAAGGTGGGAGGGTGGGGCTGCGCCCGGGGGTTCTCAATGGGAGTGGAAAGCTCACCAGGGCAGCTCCAGTGTTGGGCACCTGCCATGTGGCAGGGGTTCCCCAGTCTTCCTGGCATCCACGGTCCTACTGGTGCCAGTTTCTCCAGTGGTGCCTGACACACCCCACCTGGGCACGCCTCCCACCTCCCCGTTCCTTCCCACACAGTGGGCACTTGCCAATTCCAAGTCTTTTGCAAAAGCTGGTCCCTTCACCTGGTTTACCTTCTCTATCTCTACCAGAAAAAGGTCCAACTGTTTCTTCAAGGCTTGGGTCAAATGTCCCTGTTCTGCAAAACTGTCTTCCGTCGAACCAGCCCCATCAGGAGCTCCCCGCCGGCTCCCACAGCGCCTGCCCATCATTCTAGCCACCCATAGCATTTTTGGGCTTACCTGTCCTGGTCCCCCTGCTAGCCCGTGGTCCTCTCTAGTTAGGGGTCTCCATGGGCTCCTCCCTCCCCCATCTCCAGGTGCGCCAGCGGCAGGTGTAGCTAATACCACAGGAACCAACAAGTTGTAACATGGGGGACAGAGCAGTGTTTGAACGGAGACTCCCCATTCTTGGCTACTTGGACTTCAGAATGAATCAAGTTATTTCCTAAAACAGTCCAATTTTATCAACAATAAGGATGGTTATCTAACTTACATGATTGAGAAAGACACTAAAAGGAAGGCATTAAGTTACGATAAGAGCAAAAGAAAAAACACACTGGGCTCAGTGGCAGCTTAATGCTCTTGCACTACCCAGAGTTGACTGGCATGGACACATGCCAGGCTCTGTTGCCAGGATGGCCCTGGCCTTGAGATGGCCATAGTCTTCGGGTGGGGCATTCCCAGGTTTCGTGGTGACACAAAGCAGGAAGAAGTGCTATGTCTGTAGCAAGGTGAGAGCTCCCCTGTGGCTGTTGTGCCAGCAAGGCGTGGGGCAGGCTCACAATCCTTCCGGGCAGACGGAGAGCGAATCTGGAGCCCTCAGTGGATTTTACAGGCTTTAATGCTCTCAGGGAACCAGGAGGCAACCAGGCAGGGAGGTGGGCACGGGCCAGGCAGGGGGCGCTGGGAGGCAGGCAGGCAACCGAGCCTCCCAGTCCCCCATGAATTTTTACACTATCCCTCTGGGCTCTCTCTGGCACGCTCTCGTGGTCTCACTCTTCTGTAGTCGCGTGTCCTCCCGTAGCCACCTGTATAGCCCTGGCCTCTGAGCGCAGGTGTGCACACTTGCGCATGCCCACACCCATGCTCCAGGTGTCCACAATCAGGCACACGTGCCCCACGCTCCCACGCGCCTCCTGCATCGTCACAGTCAAGTGATGTGATTGTGTTATCACCTATGGCCACAGGTGATAGCCGCGGCCGAGGCTAGTGGCATTAAAAAGCCTGATAGAGTCACTTACCCTACAGATGCTGAAGGCCCCCAAACAGCACGTGGCGTGGCACTGGGACGTGGAACTGTCCGGCAGAGGCTTTTGTCCATCTGATCACTGCTGAATGTCCAGTCTCCAGTACTATGTCAAGCGCATAGTAGGCCTTCAGGAAGTATTTGTTGGCTGAATGGCTAGAAAGAGTCCTGGAACACGTCTGGAAATGGCACTTCAGTTACCCCTGGATTCTGTTCTCACTGAAGATTGGACCTGCTGGGGCCCCCAAAATGAGGGAGCAGAGGTCAGGCTGGGGCAGGGAGGGAGGGGGGCACCTGTGGGCAGAGGCAAGGACTACAAGGGGGATGGAGAGCCCCAGAGATGGCAACCCAGCCCTGGGCCAGAGAGCGGGAGGCAGTGGGTCTCTCCACCAGCTAGGCAAGGGCTGAGCTTAGGTGTGCACAGAGGTCATGGCCCAGCAGGCTGTGATCGCTGGAACGGGGCTCAGCACTTTGATTCAGGGTTCAGAGGGGGTGAAGTCTGATCTCAAGGTCGCCCAGCTTGCGAGTGACACAGCCAGGACTCAATTTCACATCTTTTGAATTCCAGAGTCTGATCTTTCTTCACTCTGCTAAAAAAACAATCCAGCCACAGACACAGGCAGGAGTGGGACCTGGGGCCAGAGCCTCAGTCTGGGTCAGTGTAGTGTCAGCGTGGGGGATCAGAACCACGGGTGTTCTGCAGCAGAGCCAGACAAGCGCCAGGGGTCAGGGTGGCCAGGACGGGAGAACTGTCTTTCCAGGCTCTGTGCAGCCAGCCAGAGACAGTGTCCTGGGGCTGGTGGCAGGGCATGCTGGAGACCCTGCTCCCTCACCTCCATCCCTGACCCTGACTGACCTTCCTCCGGGGGCTGAGAAACTGGCTTGGCCCTTGTCCAGGAGGAGGCTGCAGCTGCTCTGCAGCCCTGGGCCCAGCATACAATGGCGCTTTCTGTCCCAGCGCGAGGTCTTGATTGCGTGTTGCCCTGGATCCAAGCGCTCCTGTGGAGGAAGCGTCTCTCTCCCGGCGGGCGTGTGTTCCAGGAGCTGGATGTTTCATGTGATCAAGCCCTCTCCCTGCCTCGTGCATTTGGCCTGGCATTTATTTCCTTTGTATAGGTGTCTAGGTGTGTATGCATGTGCACACTTGTTTGTGTGCATCTGCATGTGTGAGCGTGTTTGAGCATGTATAGGTCTGCAGCTTTCTGGATACCTGTGCATATTTCCGTAGAAACCAGCTTGCACCTATACATGTTTGCATGCTTGTGTCTCCAGAACTGCGTCTGGACTCTGCTTGGGGGCGTGAGGTGGGGGGATTGAAGCTACATGAGACACCTAGCACCAGGCCCCCACCTCTGTTGCCTCTGGCGGTGCCTCCCCAGCCGACCCCCCCAGGCGGCCCCTACTGCTGCTTAGCCGCTCTGCCGTGTGCCCAGCCTCCTAAAGTCACCCCCTTCCTCCTTCCACACCCCGCACCCCCCCCCAACTCCCGCCTCTGCATTTGTCTGGGAACAACCTGGCCCTGTTCAGCTCTGGGAGGAAGACAGGTTTGTACAGCTTGGTTTGGCCCATACACTTTCCAAAAGTTCCCTGGTTTCTAGCCAAACTCTTTGTAAAAGGCTCTTGGGGACTCGCCTAACAGGAAGGTGGGAACTCTGCCTAGGGGGTTCAGGACCCCCGCTCCAAGCCCCAAGATGAAGTGGGAGGCTCAGTTCATGGAGCTTCAGCCAGAGAGGAAGCCCTGTGTCCTGAGGCTAAGCTTAGTGGGAACACCCTTCACCCTCAGAGAAGGGGGCACAGCATCTCGGGGGTCTCAAGTCCAGGGTGGCAGAGCTAGGATGGATCCCCAAGATAGGCAGCTTGGGGTCACCCCTGGCCCCCTCTGTCCCACTGAGCACAGGGGACAGTGAAGCCCGGAGAGGCCTGGCCACACGTTCTGCTGCTCCTGGCGGCCTGTCCACGGAGAGCAGGTCCTGCCCCGCTGCTTCAGGGAGGAGCCAGCCTCAGCCTCACCGGGAGGTCCTTGCTCTTGGCCTGCAGAGTCCAAGGGACACGCCGTGAAGCACAGCGTGGGGCTTTCTGCACAGCCTCCCACTGATAGTGGGGCCCCACCCTGTCATGGACACCTCTGGCGGTGTCCTGGGGTGTCGCAAAGAGGATCTCTGATGGGCTGGACCCCGATGGGCTGAGATCTGATCCCAGGGGCGCGCTGGCATGTGGGTCTGTCTGGGGGCGTGGAGGCTGCTGCTGAGGGACGACCGGGGGCACCCAGTGAAGAGGCGCCCAGACAGTGGCTCCTTCATCCAGTCCCTCTGCCCTGCCCCACCCTCCTAGGCGAGTCCTTTCTAGACAGGTGCCAGGAAGCTTCCTCTCACCTATTCCCAGCTGCTCTGAGACTCTTCCCCTCTTGCCCCTGAGGACGGAGCACAGGCCAGGGGTGGCTCAGCGCTAGGGGCACAGGCCTGGCCAGCCCTACAATACAGGCTCAGGAGCTCAAGGACCTGGGGCCTTTTACATACGATGCTGTTTCATCTCTTTGAGCTCTGCTCCTGGCGGCGGTGGGGCGCAGGAATGGCAGGGTCCCCAGGAGCGGTTGTGCGCTGATGACGCTGTCGGAGGGGCTCCAAATTCTCCACCCTCCTAGGGGAGCTTCCGTGGGATGCTAATGGTCTCCAAATCATCTGGGGAATGAAGGTGTTTGTAAGGGGATAGCCGGCAGGCCTCCGTGCTCCCCTCCGGCTGTCCTCCGGCTGTCTCAGAGCCACATGCACACCCACACTGAGCACCCGCCCGGCCCCGGGTCCTTGTACCCATATGGCCTGTTCTTGATGGGGAATTTGACAAGGGACTGGGGTGGAGGAGGGCCCAACCCATGGGTCCCAGGAGCTGGGTTGGGGGCTTTCCTCAGGCCCCTGCGGCCCACCAGGCAGCCTGCTCCTCCCCCCACCCTCGCAGAAGGTATTCACACGGGCCTTGGCAGCCCCTCTGGCTCTCTGCCGGCCTGGAAAGCTTGGAGCCTGTGAATGGAAAAGCCCGGATCAGAGCTGGAGTAGGGTGGGGGTGGTGGGCGGGGGGGAGCTGTGTCTAGAGTTTTCCTGGTGAGGCCTCCCCTTCCTCAGAGCCAGACATGAGGCTTTAACACCTCGGCAGTCCTGAGTCATTGCCGGGACCCCTCCCTCCCCGGCCCCGCTCTCCTGGCCCCACTCACACCTGGAGGTGGCCGTAGGTGCTATTGCTAACGCTTTGGGAAGGTCTGAGGATTCTCAGGGACCCTAATGTGCTGGGGACGGAGAAGAGTGTCATGCTGGACGGTGGCACATTCGCCCAGCAAGGCCCAGAGAGGCAAGGGGCCTGACGACTGGACTATGCAGACTGCAAAGCAGCGTCACGTCAGTCAATCCCGCCTCCTATTTGATGCTGGCAAGAGCCCAGCCTCTCCTCCGTGAGGCCCCGCAGCCCCAACTGGCGGGGCCCGGGGGCTCATCCCTCCAGGGGCCTGCCAGCTGCCAGCACTTCACTGAACAAACACCTGAGTCCTTCCTGGCGTGCAGCTTCTGGGTCAGCTGAACACCCCCATGGGGGCCAGATCGTCTCTTCTTTTCACGTGCACCCCGACTCTGTTCTCACGTCACCGCCGATATGCCCGTGGCTCTGCCAGGTTTCGAGAGCAGACCTGTGCTCTGTGCACCGGCTCTGCCTGGTGCACTAAAAGCAGTGAATTTACTGCACACATGTGGCCCTCAGGAGACTACGTATATATCCTATGTGAATATCCTGAAAAGTATCAAGGCCTCCCCACATGTGGCCACACTCCTGTGTGACATCTATTTAGCTGGTGACAGCTGCCCCTTCAGTCAGGGCAAGAGGTCTCCAGTTTCCACGGCCCCCACCACTTATTGCCTGAGATCTGGCCCAAAGCACTCAGGCACGTCACCTGCCACCAGGTAGGCCTGTGAGTTCACAGACACTGCTGGAGATGACGATGGTTCCGTGAGCCGCTGTGCTCACTCCAGATGGACAGAGGCCTGTTTCTTAGCTCCCTCGGGGCACGGCTGGCCATTCAGGTGGGTCAGATTCCCACAGCTCCCCATTTCATCCATTTCTATGAAGAGCGCCCAGAGGGGCTGTCCCCATCCCGCAGCCATTCCAAAAGGGAAGGGAGTAGGAGAGTCTTAACACGGTCTTGGTTTAACGCACACATTTTAAAAGGTCCACGGTTTGGCCCATGAGGGGTGATGTGATGTCAAGATGTCAAGAGGCTGTGATGAGCTGAATCGCTCCCCATGTCCTTTGTAGCGCCGCCTCCCTCCTGGCCATCACACCTCTGCGCACATCAGATGGCACACCTCTGCCATCACTCAGATGCTTGGAGGGGACTCCGAGCCCCTCTCCGCAGGGTGGTGTCCAGTGCCCTCCGGGAGCAGTCTAGCTTGGCGCATCTTGGAAGAGACAGGAGTCCCCAGGCAGTGTGAGGGCCGGAGATTTGGGGAGGCAAGCCCACCAGTTCTCTGTCCGAGGAGGGCCCTGCTGCCACTGAGGTGTGCCTGCTGCCCTGGGCCACAGGTGTGAGGGTGAGATGGGCGCTCACCTTTCCCCATAGACTAGGTCCCAGCGGCGCTTTTCTGTCTTCCTCCCAACTCTGCTTCCGGGTCAGTGGCTGCTGGTCTGTCTGGCTCAGGGCACCCTCCACGGGCTCCCAGCTTCCTCTCCTCTGACCTTCCTGTTGCCCGAGCTCCAGGAGGGAACAGGGCCATCCCCTGTGTCGGCTCATCTTCCTGTAGGCTGTCTCTGCACTCGCAGGCAGCCCACTCAGCTGCCACAGGACGATCCCAGTAGCCACGGGCGAGGGTGCCTCTCCCTCTGCCGGCGTCATCCAACTCTCTTCTTTCTGCCCTTTTGGGTTGGCTCTAAAATGCCTTTTCTTCTCATCTGCATCTTCACATCAGTCCTCCTGGCCCTGGTCTTCTGCCTGGAACAGGGTGCTGTGTCAGGAAGACAGGCCTGGCCGGCAGGGCAGCTCCCCCCACCAAGATGAGTGTGTGTGCTCTGGGGGTTTGGCAGCAGGCCCTCAAGAACACCCCAAATCCAGTGCTTCTCTGCAGTCTGCTTTATCCTGGAAGTAGAGTCCCGCTCACATACGCGCGCATGATTGCTACTTATATAAAACCATGTTTGAGGTAATATAAAAAATACTGTAAATGATCGTTTTTGCACTGAAACAGTGACTAAAATTCATGCTCTAGGATAGGGCTCAACAAGTTTTCCTGGAAGGGTCAGAGAGTAGATATATTCGGCTGTGGGGCCAGTGGCTCTGGGACAAACACTGGCTTGGCCTGAGAGCAGCCAGACAGACGGTGCAGGAGGGGACCAGTGTGGCTGGGTGCCAGCCACACTTCTTGGTCTCAGTTCCGAATCTGGTGTGATTTTCATGTCATGCAGACATTTCCATCATCTAAAAACATAATGGCCACTCTTAGCCTATGGGCTGCGTGTAAACAGGTGACAGATGGTGGCCCCATCACCCTGGAAGACAGATGTGTCAGGCCTGTGGTTTTGGAGCCAGACCCACCTCTATGCTCGTTCGTCTCTCACTAGCTGTGCTACAAAAGACAGGTGTCACCTGTGCCTCATTCTCCTCTGGAGAACATACTTTGGGTTGAATTCATGCATGTCAAGGCCTGCACCAGTGACCAGCCAAAGAGGCCCCTGCAGGCACTGCCAGGGCCAGCTTTCGAGGTGCAGGTGGGTGGCGGAAGGTCATGGCCAGGTCCTGGTGGGTGAGATGTGGCACCTCTCCCTTCCCGATAGCTCCTGCAACACCAATGCAACAGTGGTGGGCAATCCATTGAATACCCCAGGGTGAGAGGTGAGCATACATGGGTACAGGGGGGCGTGGTGGCCCAGCCCCATTCTCTGTGACAGCTTCATGGTCTTGTCAGCTTCCACTAGGCATACTGAACACCCGCAGCTCTCCACCCAGTAACCAAGATGCCCCGAGGACAAAATGTTTTATGGCAAACTCACAAAACATCAGCTCAACATGCTGGACGAACTCTGCTTTTCTGCCCTCTTAGAATCTACTGGGCAGGGTTATGATGCCAAAGCGTAAAATCAAGATTCTAGCACTTTGCGTAAATTGTTCCCATACCTAGAAGGGCTCCCCAAGTCTTGACTAGAGGCCTAAGAAGCTGCTATACAACCTTGAGAATTGGAGCAGAAAGACTCCAAGACTTAGTAGAGCAATGCTCTTTCCATGCCCCAGGCTGTCACTCCACTCATCTATGGTGAGGCTGGGTTTCCTGTCAGTCTCACCGAGTCATGAGTACTTTCCTGCCAGCCTCCTCAGTAACTCCTGGCACAGCCCTTCTGGGGCTTGCGAGGTGATGTTTTCCAAAGCTCAGGATCATCATGTTTGCAATAAGCCTCTAAAACTTCAGCTTCTGAGGCATTCCTGTTTTTTTAGGGGCTGTCTCACCCCGCAGAGGTCTAGTATCCCCTGCTCTGTCTGTACGTGCCACTGCTGTTGTATTCAGCCTTTGAGCCTGTGGGGTGCACTGAGCCCTCTTTTACAGTTCTGTTTCAATTCAGATGTTCTGGCAGGTCGAAACAGGTCAAGCCAAGCCTTGTTTAACAAGTCCCCGACAGGGTGCCCAGCACCAATTGGGCACCTAGAAGGAGTGAATTCCTGTGTGCACAGGATATAATCATAAAATGCCCAGGCAGCAAAAGACATTCAAGTGCCACTGAATTTCTGAAATACAAATTTGACTTTTAAACTTTTCTTTTTTTAAATCCAGGATCAAGAACACAGACAATTTATTATGTTAGACATGGGGTGAAGAATGGCTGAGGACAGTTATGGCTGTGAGTGACATTGAATTAGATGAAAAGGCTCAAGTTTGTTGAAGAGAGTTTAGATTTGGCTTTTGCTCTTGGAAACGCCAAAATAATCATAAGAAGCACTTATGCCTTACAGAGCAAATAATCCAGAGTGTCATTTTCATTTTGCAAACAGGGACACAATAGCAGTCAAATATAAGCCTAAACACCCAGAAAGCTAACATATAGGTTCAATAAGATATAACAAGGGATTTAGCATGCTGGTGGGTTTTTAAATCAAATCCATATTGAACCCTGTAACCTACTGGAGATTCTAAGTGGAACCTGGGGAAAGCAGCCTTTCCATACAAAACAACGACGACACAACAAAGGAAACCCAGGCTCTGCTGGATGTCTATAATACTCATTTGCAGTAAGGCTTTCAAGATACATGAATTTTTATAGCATTTGTATTTTAAGGATTTAGGGCAAATACATTTTTTTTCTACTTGATAAAAAGAAAATTAGTACTTAAAAGGTTCAAAAATATATTGATTGAGTGATTTTTTTACATAAATAAATTATATTGATTTTTAGGATTTAACAGCTGAAAAAACCCTTTCTGCTTCCACTGGAGGCAAAACTGAACAAAATGTTAGTTAAATAGAGAAAGCAGCATTTCTAAGAAATCTGTTGTCAGCATTACAGAACATCTATGCTACAAAGATGTCATTATATAGGATCTGTTCAATTACTGGACTCTTTCTCCTTATATGATCAGCAATACAGTTTCTGATTTATAGCTCTGATTCATAAAACTGGGGCTCCACTTTTTTAAAATACACCTGAATGATTTCTCAGTCACGATTTAACAGACTTCTTTGAGATGCTTGTTTTAACATTTACATAATTTATAATCCCAAATGTATAAAAGACAATGACAAAAAGCATCATAAATAAATAATGCAAACTGAAATAGTTATGTCAAACTTTTGGACCTTCTGATAAATTAGCAAAACTGTAACAGAAAAAGTAAAAAATACAGTAAATTGTGACAACAAAAGTGAAACTGGTACTAGTAACACTTCCAACATTTCCCACGGCCCTGCAGCCCTGTGCCCCCGGAGGACTGAACCACAAGCTTATTTCAAGTCTCAGAGTGTGAACTGTCAATAAAGAGTAAGACTCTCAAAAAGGAGGGAAAGAGGGTGGGGGGAAGCACTGCTCAGGCAGTTCTCCTCAGCAGGGAAGCCGGGAAGGAGGGAAAATAATGTGGATCTGCAACACAGTCTCGACTAACTTGATCATCTGGAAATCGGGTCCAACTGTATATAACAGAAAAGAAGAAATATGGAGAAGGAAAGACATTTCACAGTCGTATTAAAAGAGGTGGTACACACGTTGGACAACCTCGAGTAACTGACAAAAGGACCTAGCAAGTGTAAAAGTGTTGAGTGACAATTTTCTTGCAGGCTCTGGGAAGAGCCTTATTCTTGGTGAAGTAAAGCACAAAATAAAAACCCATCAGGCCCTGGTAGTGGCGAGAGCAATTCCCAAGAGAATGCAGTGGGCCGGGCGCCAGCCGTGTGCTCGCGAGCAGCGCAGCTCCGCGGAGGGCTCACCCTCCTCTGCCATCAGCAAGAACTCCAGGTACGTAAAGCTTCCTCATACTGAGAACATTCTTTTAACTGGGGGGATTGGGGGGGCATAACACACGCGTATAAAATAATGCCTAGTCAGTATTTCTTCTTGCTGCAGGTGTCTGGAAAACCATAAAGGGGAAATTATGCTACTACCAGTAAGGTTTCTGCTTTATAAAGAAATGAATATATGCATTTTCAACCATTAGTTATATACTTCTGTCTATGCTACGCATTTAGTAATCATGATAAAATAGGGAGATATTTTAACTAAAAAATATGCACCAGCACTTCCTTTTTCTGTGCTTTTTGGTTTCCCTATTACATTCTTCCCATGTAACACAGCTCACGGAAAAAAAGCTGCTCCTCGTGTCTGCTCTTCGGCCCTGCAAATGGTAAATCCCTCGACAGCTTTCTTTTGCCATTTTTCCTCCTCAAATAAGTGGGAAACTTGGACAAGAAGGGGGTAGGGCGTGTCACCAAGTACTGTATTAACTACAATTGCTGGAATGAACAACTGGATAACAGAATGAGAATTCTGTGCCTCCTAGACTAGGTCGACGACACTTATCTAATGAAGTGGCAAGACCCTGCGACTATTAACATCTGTTACCATAGTTCTCAGACAGGAAATTAGGTAGGTAATAATTACTGATGGAAACACAGGTTCTTATGAAGGTGAAGTGAGGGAAGTAACAAACTGTTATGGGATAAGAAACTTACAAGTCACAATAATTTCTTAAATGAAAAAGTTCTAATTGGTGTCACTGTTAGAGTCCTTGAAGGCCCCGTCCCCAGCTGGGGATGCATGTTCTCTATCTGGGGGCACAGGGGCCCTGGATTCCGGGCAGTTCTGATCACTGCTTGGCTCCTGTTCGGACCCAGGAGCAGGCTCTGGGGTGGGGTTGTCCCCTTTTGTTTTCTTCTTCTTCCTCTTCTGGCTCTCCAGACCCACTATTTCAGAGTGTCTGGCCTGCTGCATGGCTGGGAGAGTCATGCCCATGCCAGGGGAGAGGAACATGGACGGGTAAATGAGTCCAGGAGATACTCCTGGGATGAGAAACGGGTTAAAAGCCACAGGACTACTTGTAGTTATTGCAGGTTCAGACTGATCAGAAAATGCACTAGGACCAGGCTTGTCTTCAGCTAAAGTGTCCGTTTTCCCGTCATGGCTACCTGGCTTGTCTTCTGCAGTCTTTTCAGTCGCCGACGTACCACTTTTTGTTGTGCTTGACAGAGGAGCTGGAGGGGTGGAAGGGCAGGTAGTAGCCATGGGTGCACTGAGGAGCCCCCCCACACCAAACATCTGGGGCACCGCGGCCATTCCCGGCAGCATCATGGGCAGCATGCTCAAGGTGCTTTTGACCTCTTCACCTGTGGGCATCGTGGCAAAGCTGGTCGGGAATCCCACCAGCCCCGTGAGGGGGATGCCTGGCATGTTCCTCATGTTCTGTAGTCCTACCAGGTCCATCCCAGCAATCAGCCCATTCATGAACAATGGCCCCATTCCCGAGGGAGAGTCCGCCACAATGGCAGGCGCTTTCAGCAGCTCACTCCGAGGCCGCCTCCCCCTCCTGCGGGGGCCTGCATCTCGAAGAACAGGCTCAGCCAGAGTGTGATTGAACTTGTTTTCTGGAAGAAATCCCTGAAAAAGGACAAAGAAACACAAGATGCTCCAAGTTACTGGATGGTGGGCGACTGACTGGGGCGCTGACCAGGGTTCTGCCCTAGCCTAGCCCAGCCCAGCCCAGCCCAGCCCAGCTCCGTGAAGACTCAGAGAGAGAGCTCTCCCGCCTGTCCGGCCAAGGTCGGACCACTCTCTCGCCTCATTGCAACTCAACAGTTTCTCCCTCAGGCCAACAGCCTGTCGCCACCAAGCAGTGCTTCCAACAGGCTCACCATACAGAAGCAGCATCCACCTGATGGAGCAGCGCTAGGAGCTAGAGACCAGCTAACAAGGCTCAGTCACAGCAATGTTCGTGGATGGCTGTGACCCCTGGACCAGATCCCAACCTTTGCTTCCTCATATGGCAGGAAGGTTTTTAACTGAAGCAACAAACTGAGTAGGTAAGATAGGGTTTTGCGGCGGACAGACCTGAGTTCCAATTCAAACTCTTAACCCCCGAGCTGTAGGACTCCACCAACTCCATTAACCTCTCAGAGCTTGGGAAGAAAGGACAATGATACCTGTTCTGTGGGGTCACCACAGAAGTACTGACGAAAGGGACATGATCATCGGAGGCAGAGACAGGGTCCTGTTCCCGCTAGGTCAGGAGCACCTGGAGGGGACTGACTCTGATACGAAACAGGATGCCCATGATTGTTGAGGAAGTGAAGGCATCTTTGAGCATCTTGGGGAACTGCATCAAAACAAGCAATGCTCTAGTTTCCCTTAAGGGCTATTTTCTGATGGGAAAGAGGTGATTTCTTTCAGAGCAGAGAGCTCAGAGTTAAGCATTCCTGCTCTGTGAGGACTGGGCTGTGCCTGCGCACGTCCCCCAGCACACCCACGGGGCGCCAAGGCTCCTGAGCAGCACAGGGCGCTCCTGCTCGAGCAGCAGCAGGGCACCAGGGACAGTGCGGTAGGAAGCACCAGCCAGGGGCAGCTGTGGCGGCTGCAAACGCTCCTTCCTCTGTGACTTGGCCCAGGGGACAGAACACAGCCAGGACCACAAGGTCTGGCTGCAGACAGAATCAAACAAACTAGTGCTATTATGATGCTAATAACCCTGAATTTGTTTCAAAACCTGTGAACAGAGGCGGTTTCCCACAGAAAGGGAGAAATTTCCTTCAGGACCCCTCTGAACACACCCCCTGGGAGCCGATACCCCTTTCCTCCACCAACCCCTCCTCCTCTCATTTAGTTTCTCAAGCTGCTGCATGGCGACAGCACTTACAGTGGATTGTGTTTTGCTGCTGAGCAGTCTCACTCTCCTTTGCATGATGAGGCACAGAGAAAAGGCCCTTTCCTGTGGGCCCCTGGGCTGTCATCTCCCCCCGAGCCACACGGAAGCGGCCCTAACTACCCTATTAGGGCCAGGAATTCCAGAGAACATGGAGAAAAAATTGGGGAGATGAAGGTTTATAAGGGCTGACACTGCGACCAGGACTGAGAGCCGTCAAGTTGTTCCAGCCTTCCCAAGGACACTGCAGGTCAGTAGCTCTGGTGTTTCCATTTGGTTCACTGCCTCGCACCTCCCTTAACTGCTAAAGAAGCAGAACTCTGAGGAGACGCAATGGACCCCTGCATGAGGGGCTGCAGCAGACACAGCGATTAGCTGGTGGCACAGTTTAGGTTCTCAGTGAGCAGAAGTGCACAGGTATGTGGTGGGCTCCAAAATGAGGAACTGCCAGGACCACTGATTCCATGGCAGTGAGCGGCATCAGCAGCTCGGGAAACTAGCGCCCAGCAGCAGTGATAAAGGGGGCATGGTGACAGGAAGCCGTGTGAGTGACAACAATGCCGCAACAAGCACTCACTGTGTTGGCAGGTACTATGTTGAAGGTGCGGTGGGCATTACTCAATGAACCTTCACACCCACCCTGTGGAGTGAGGACTATCATAGCCACCTTACAGGAGATCACACTGGAGCCAGATTGAAAGCATAATTTCTTACCAGTCTATCTTGAGCCTATTTAACGCAAATTGCCTCATCCTGGAGTCTCTGCAAAGTCTTGGGGCCTGACTGGTCACACCTCCTCAGCCCAGGGCCCTGGCCAGGCTAACTACTCAACCACCCACAGCCAAGAGCCAGGGAAAAGTGCTGGGGCGTGTCTACAACCTCATTACTCTCCCCATAACTCCCTAGTGGAAGGACATGTTCACTTTTATAAGACTTTCTGGTTGGGGGGAAAAAACCCAAATGAAAAAGGCCTTGATTTTATTTTTTAAAAATTTGCTATAGGGCCTCCCCTGGTGGCACAGCGGTTGAGCACTGAGCTGTGAGGCTGCCCGCAGTCTCTGCAGCACCGGTTCGTTCCCCGGCCACCAATGAGGGTCCCACAAAAAAAAAAAAAAAAAAAAAAAAAAAAACGCTATAAATCAGACATTCTTGAACGTATTTTTCTTTGAGCTCCTCAGGGTATTTAAGACCAGCCTGCATCCTACAGGATCTTTTATCTCCCTTGATCCTAATCATTAAGTGCAAGTTGCATTCTCAGGCATGAAGATGCCCCAAAACTTCAGTGTACAGAACCACTGATGCTGGGTCCTTTCAGAACTGGGAACTTGCCAAGGAGGCACAAGCTGGCTGCCTTCTCCCCTTAAGAATGGGAGAGCAGGGGTAGAAAGGCCCCAGGGGCAAAGCAAACAACAGCTCTTCATATATGGCAAAGGAAGAGGCGTGCTGGCAAAGGAGGTGGGCTCTCGCCACTTCCTGTGGGAGGGAGAGTCATGCTAGCCAGCCAGAGGCTGCCCACCCTAATCAGGTGCCCCTCCCAGCAGCTCCACGACCACACACAGCGGCCAAGTCGGGTTTTGGCAGCTCTCCCTCCTAGTAATTATACCCTGAGAGCAAACCCACTTCCTCTTCCAGGGAGCCTGGGGAGAGGGCAAGGAGAGATAGGAAAAGACAGTCAGATACTCCAGCAAACCTGGAGGCAAATGTGCATTTCCAAAGGAATGCATGGGTACCAAGAACACTGTCACCTATCCAGGAGACATTTATTCCAAAGCCTGAGTATCCCAATGCAAGCTTAACTCCTGGGTATGAATAGAGAAGGTGGTGACTAACACTTACTCCTCCCAGGAAAGTTAGTAGGTTTGGCCAACATACACCGAGGGAAAAGAGACCTTACTACCACGCACACATTATGTGGATTTTAATTTGAAAATTCTAAAAACAAAACAAAACACTAGCTCTAAAAGACATTTTTTGTGACCAATGGGGAAATGTGAATATGGACTAGATATTATTCATATTTACATGTGATAATGGTAACAATTACATAGGAAAGTGTTCTTGGGAGACACACATTGAAATATTTAAGGGTGACGTGTCATGCCTGCAATTTACTCTCGAATGCCTAAGCAAGAAACACAAAACTATACACACATACATGAAACAAATGTAATTTGCATATACAAAATATATGATGTGCGCGTGCACCTATGTGCACACTTGCATTTGACGAGCAACCACTGAGCACCCATATTCTGAAAGCTGAACCCCATGGCAGTCTGCCGATGCTAATTCTGTGAAGCCAGGCCACCTCTCTGTGGGGTTTACATTTGTCTCTAAGAGGAGGGGGTAGGGTCTCTATGGAAAATCCAGCAGGCAGTGATCCCAGGAGTAGTCGTGGAAGACAAGGTTGGGGGGGGGGGAAGGGCCCTCATGGGCCCAGCAGAGTGTCACTTCCTATTGGGAAGGCTGAGCATTCCTGCAGACTAGGTGGACAAGTGCTTCCTGTTCTTGCCTTACTGCAGGAAAAGGGCCTCCGAGGCAGGGACTGTGTTTATTTAACAAAGGAGAGAAAGTGTGTGTTTGGTAAGAGGCGGGCTTGCAAGAACAGCGAAGAAATGGGTTTTCTGGCAAGGGGCTGGTGTCTGTAGGGGAGTGATGAACACTAATTTCCAGAGAACATGAGGAAAACTGTTACACATTACAGAAAGAAATGAAAAAGCCAAGAGGGTAACCACATGGTTTTTCTGATGTGTCTCTAAGGGACTACAGCAAAACAAGAACTAGCAGAAGAAATAGCGATCTCTCCTGGACAATGTGAGTGAGACTCAATCTGAGTCGAAAGGGGGGAGGCAGCATGAAGGGGATGAGAAAGACAGATGGGCTAGATAGAAACTACAGCTGAATCAGCCTGTACAGGACAAGGAGGTCTAAGAAGAGGGGTGTTAGGAAAATTCCCTGAGAATAAAAGCACTAGAGGAGAAAAGAGGATAGCTTTTCCAATGCAAAAAACTTTGATAAATGCCTCCCCCATCCCCGCCCGGAATGGGCCAAGCTCCCTGCCCCCAGTGACTCTGCTAAAGGATGGTGACACTCGGGAGCATTACTCTCTGGAGCTGCAGGAGAAGTAATCACCCTGGTGACAAAATCAGTAACAAGCTCCCTGAGAACACTGAGTAACGATTCTTTTCTGCACAAGGAGGAGGAAATGACTATGGTGGGTGGTCTTTTGGAGCTAAAATAAGAAATCACATCCAGGCAATTCCACTGAGAAGGGAACTTGTACCCAAGGAAAGCCGTAGCTAGCAGAGCAGTGAAGAGAAGGCCTTCAGAAGAGCCTGTGAGTTTAGGGGACAACCTGCGAAGAGCAGTATCTTCAGAAGTCCCCTGTCTGGGCAGAATGCACTTTTATGAGGTTAAATTTGCCCACATTGAACACATTTTCCAATTGAAATGTTATTACTGCCCCCTAGAGGTTATGAATTTTCTAGCCCAAATTGATACTCCTCTGTAAACTATAATTAACTCAGACTTGTTACACTACAAGCATCTTGCAGATGTCTTTGAAGTCTCTTCCAGGCTCATGATTCTGTAACAGGAAAAGGGCCGTACTTGGACTCAGCTGTTTTTCTTTGTCACTGAGGATGGAATAGGAGGAAGTGTCTTAAATGGTAGCCACAAAAACTGAGATTAGAAAATGAAGCTTTCCAATGCTGAAGTTTGTTAAAACACTGGAAACTCCTGACAAGAACTAAGGTGTCTTTTCCCTTGGGGGTGAGGGAGGAACAAGCTTTGGGAAGGATTTAAATACAGTTTTGGAGGTAAAGGTCGAAAACAAATGACCACGGGAAGTCCTACTGCGGAGGTCGGCAGCACTGACCCCTTATCAGTTTCCCGTGCTGGCCTCTGGTCTTCTTGGAAAATGTCACCCAGTTACCCAATTCCCAGAGGAGCTTGCTCTTTGTGTTTTCAAGATCTGGCACCGCAGAGTGCTCCTTTCTCTTACCCTTAGTCCTGGCTCCTTGGGGACAGCAGGGACTCTCTCTTCCCCACTCAGGGAGTTGACATCTAATTTTCCAGGTTCCTTACAGCGTGGCCGCCTCTGCTTTGGTTTGTCTGAAAAATTCTAGGAGGCAAATGGAAACCAACGTCATAAAAACAGTGTCACAAATTTTTCTGACGAGGGTGTATTTTAGCTAGTTTTGCTATTTCTAGTTGATGGCACTCTACACAGGACCCCTCAGGTTAGCCTGAAGGAAACTGCCACCAGGCCCTCATTTAGGATCTCTCATTGAAGGAAAACTTCCTCTAACAAGATGAGAAAAAGGCTGTGTGGGCCTCGTGGCCCTCCAGACTAAATACCTGGGCTGAAACCCCGGTTTACTCCCTAGCCTTTCCCTTATTTTCTTGGATTCTCTTTCCATCCTGCCTACCTGGCTTTGTCTTTGGAGAGAACGCATCCGCAGATGCACTCTACCTTTGTATCTCATTAATGATACGTGCCAGGACCAAGACAGTGACAGAGCACATGGAAAAGTGAGAAAAGAAAAATCTAGAAAAGCCATCAGCCCCAGAGGGCTCTCCCACAGATTTCTAATCTGAAGGATTTAGGACAAAGGCAGTAAAAGTCTATGTAGAGGAAAAGTCCCAAGCAAAAACAGTAAAATGAAGAGAAACTTCAAAGCTTAAAGTACTAACATGAAAAGAACACACAGTAATGCTTCACTAAGTGGCAACATTTATCTACACTAACAATTACTCTATGAGTTTATGACACTGTGTGGTAATTTTCTAAGAGAAAGGAGGGCTGAGCTTAGGCAAGTTCTGTCCTCATTAAAATTTTGCATGTCTACTCTACTTCTTGGTACGGCAATCTGACATTAGCTGTAATTTCTGTTATGGGAAACTTCACCAAAACGTAAAACTTTTTTTTTTTTTTTTTTTTACTTTAAAATGACATTATCAGTTGATACAGACTTTTCTCAAACTTCTTGGTCTTCTTCATTTTCCTCAGCACATCCCTTATCAAAAATGGCAGCAAGCCAGCAGGGAAAAAATAGCAGTTGTAGGCAACACCAACTTACTGTTCCGAAGCCAGGAACTTCTAAGGAGTAGTCAGCCTGCTGCCTCAGCCAGTCAAGCAGGCTCTTGCTGGGAATGGCTTTCTCGGCCTGGCTGCTGGCTGCAGGGGCTGGCTCAGGGGTTGAGGTGGCAGGCACTGGCCCTTCAGGGTGTGAGGTGTTCAGTGGAGCTTGCCCTGGGTCTTCATGGACTTCCTAGATGAAGGAAAAACAAGTATATGCAATTAATCATGACAGAATGAAATCTAGTTTCTATGAAGAAAACACATAGGTTACTCTTGAATCTTGCCATCTACTTCTGCCCTGATTATTGCCCTGTTGGGGTAAAAATCCTACACATAGCACTGAGCCGCCCATAAGCTCTTGCTCGTGCTGGTTGTCCCCCCCCCCCCACCTAAAAGCTCCTCTTACCACACAAAGTCTACCTGGTAAACACTGACTCCACCCTATCCTGTCCTCGCAGGTTCAGTGTTCCCTCCTTTACCACGAGACTTGACAGGCCCTGGCAATGTTGTTCTCCACTTCCTGTCCCCCTCAGCACTCTGGTCCCCACAGCACTCTTACATGTAACAGAAAATGCCACCCTGCAATTTACTTACTTTCTCTCTTTAGAGTCTGATTGTGTTTTACTCTATCCCCAGTGCCTAGGATGGGCCCACTGATAAAGTGTGTCAGTGCTACCTAAGTGTTTACATAATATAATTTAAATAATATTCTAAGGTCAAGGGAAAAAATGTATCAGTCATGTCACTGAAATTCTACAATCATTACAAAGAAACTAATTTATGCTTCTAAAAACTGAGACCTTTTTAGAAGCTTGCAGGGTTGGCAGGGAAAGAACCTGCTACTTTAACTTTCCAAATTATACATACAGCCTAGGAGGAAAACCTATACCAAACACTATGGCTCAGCAATAAAGATCTTAGGCTCCAGAGAACAAAGTCCTTGGTTTGGTTCCCTGCCCCGCCACTTACTAGCTGGATAATCTTCAGCAAATTATTTGAAGTTTTTAAGCCTCACTTTTCTGTATCGATAAAATGGGGGTAATAATACCAGCTATCTTCACAGGGTTGTGAGGATCAAGTAGGACAATCATGTCAAACCCTCAACACATAGTAAGTGTGCCTGACTCACAGTAAGCACTCAAAGAATACTGTTTATTATTTCTTTTAAAATTAGAAAATGTGTGGCCTCCCCGGTGGCGCAGCGGGTTGAGCGCTGCACTTGTGAAGCTGTCCACAGCCTCTGCAGCGCGGGTTCGATCCCGGCAGGCCAGCGAGAATACCACATGGTGTGACAGACCTCTCCTGTCGTGCCTGCTGCTCCCCTCAGCAGTGTTATTTCTGTCGTCTGTCTGTTCTGCTCCCTGCTCTGCCTCTGGTGAATCCTCTCACCCTCCTGTGCCTCTGGCCTGTACCCCAGCTCTTGTATAAAAATAAATCAATCTTTTAAAAAATGAAATAAAATAAAATTAGAAAATGTGGAACGTGATTCCTGTTTTGGAGTTCAAAATGCAGAACATAGGAAGAACCAAAATGCAAAGAGAAGTCAGTGGTCTCTGATGTGTGAAGCCAAGTCCAAGGGGCGCTCTCCTGGCCAGGTGTGCAATCTGACCTCTCCTGTGGTTTACAGTGTGATCTCCATGCATCCTCACAGCAACCTATGACAAATGCTGCTCCCCCACTTGACAGGGGAGCTGAGTGAGGCTTGGTGGAGTGCCCAGTGTCGCCTAGTAAGTCAAACAGGAGAGCCAGGATCAACATTCGACAAGTCCTGACTCCTGTTTGTTTCCTCAAATCCCAGCTCCTGGAAAGCCTGCTAACTGGGAGCAATGCTGCCACAAATTCTACCTGCTGTCTTGCATTAACTTTGCTCACACACTAGTGGCTCTTTTGGAGCCTTGAAGGATTTGGATTGTTTCCATCTGAAATGTAAGAAGCCCCGCTGGTTCATTTCTCCAGGTTGCATGCAGATTATGGGCCTTTCATAGGATTAACACTTATTTACTCTAGAAAGACTGAAGGCAAGTTTTAACAGGAGAAAGTAAGTAAGACAACTAAAATAGGGACAAAAATCTCACAGACCAAACACCACGTGTCTGAAGAAGGGTTCACTGCTGCATGTAGAATGGTCAAAGTTATCACCTAGTGGCCACATATACCCACCAAGATTCCTGCCTGAAGTGTTTGCTCCTTCAAAAATATGAGGTCCATCCCTCCATCAACATGTTTCCGCCTCCCTCTCCGTCTCCTGGTGGCAGCATCATCTCTTCTGAGGCTTCCGTTGACAATCTGTCCAGTCACTGGATGGATCAGACCAGCTTGTAGAATCCCAGACAAGTCCATGCCAAGGGCTCCTTGAAGTGAACCAATAGCTCCAATCTTAGGGGTGCTGGCACTCACTGGGAAAGGTGATGTGGCTCCTGGGGATCCCTCTGATGTGCAGGAGAGGTCTATTGCTGACTCTCCATGCCAGCCGTTGAGGACGATGGGGGGGTGCCCGTGGGTGGCAGAGAACTGTTCCAGGCTCCGGGCCTTTGCATCCCTCTCCACCTCAAACTCATAAGGACGTCTGTGCTTTTGTTCATCCTTTGCGAATACTGGAGTTAAGAAGCTCTCCTGCAAACACACACACAGCAAGAGGTTTGACACTACTGACTTCCTTATAAGTTCTTCTAAATCAAGTCTTCTCAAATCACCTGGATAGATTGTTAAAATGCATATTGTATGTCAATGGGCCTGATATTCTGCATTTCTCACAGGTTTTTGATGTTGCTGAAACTGCTAGTGCTTGAAATACACTTGGAATTGCAAAACTGTGATTTAGCGAATCTCAACTTTACCTGTACATAGCAATCAATAGAGAAGTTAAAAAATGCAGTACTCAGTCCACAACCAAGACCTATTAAATCAGAATGAGTAGTTTTTTAAGGTATCCAGCAGATTCCAATGTGTAGTTGGGAGTGAGAACCAATGTGTTAACACTGTATCTCAAACTTGAGTTTTGAGTGTGTAAAACTCAAAACTCTTTCCTCTTTGATTTCCCTAATTTCTATCAGCTGCCATTGCTCTCGCAGCCCTTGAAGTGCTGAACACACGGATCCATTCATGCCTTCCTTGCTTTCCTTACATATATATTAGCCATCAATTCATGCTTACTAATTGCCTCTTTATTTATTTATTTATTTATTTATTTATTTTTTTAAAGAAAGCAATCTTTTTTTTTTTTTAAGATTTATTTATTTATACAAGCACTGGGTACAGTCAGAAGCGCGGGAGGGTGAGAGAATTCACCAGAGCCAGAGCAGGGAGCAGAGCAGGCAGAAGGACCGAAGTACACTGCTGCGGGGAGCAGCGGGCGGCAGGAGAGGTCTGCGCACCATGTGGGACTCTCCTCTGGTGGCCGGGGAGCAGCCGGGGATCGAACCGGTGCTTCAGAGGCTGCGGGCAGCTTCGCAACCCAGCGCTCAACTGCTGCGCCACCGGGGAGGCCCCTGCCTCTCTTTTTTTAATCCAACAGTGACACTAACTTAGTCTAGGGCTGTATCTCTTCCTCAGGTTCCCACGTGGCTCCCAAATGAAGGCACCCCTCTTTCTTGACCCTTGTCGCTCATACACTTAATACCACTCCAGATGAGCTGCAAAAGCCTGCTTCCATCATGCATTTCCCTGCTCCAGAACTCTTAACAGCTCCCCACTCTCAATAGGATAAAATCTAGATTCCTCAATTAATGCTAATGGCTTAAAAGAGAAACCTATCCATCCAGTAAATATTTGTTGAATGAATAGAGAAATGCAAAGTGTCCCTCATTCTTTGTTTCTGGCTGTCTCACCTTCTGGATCTGGGCCAATGCTGTACCGCTGCCGAAGTTGTGTTCCGTCGCCTCTGGCTCTGAGATGCTGCTTCGAGAACCAGCACTGCTGGTTAGCACGGGGGTGGGCAGGGTGCTCGAAGGCTCATACTGCTGGCCAGAGGGCCACTTCCCCTTTAACACCACATGGCAGATGTTATCTAGGCGGTTGATTATCACGCGATCCTAAGAAAAGCATGAAAGCATTAAGGAATAATAAGCACAAAGTGACCAAATTCACAAAGTCTCTTATATCAAGGGTCAAACAGAAGGAGCTGGTTAGCAAAGTGTACGGCCAAATGCACTCACTTTATAAGGCTTAAAGTAAATGTCACAGTCTGGACAACAGAAATGAAAGCCACAGTGCTGTAAACACAAGGACTACTCGACACTGTTCTTTTTTGGTTTAATTAGTCAAGTGCACACATGTATTGTTAATGTTCAAGTGCTATATATAATGGATATACTTTATAGATATGAACTATTTCTGAGCCCACAACTCAGAAACTCTCAAAGGTCTAAATTAAAGGATTCCATTTTCAAAGCTGAGCATGCTTTGTGGAGAAGGCAAGTTCTGGGAGGCACCTTGGGCCACTCGGAGAAGGAATAGAGGGTTTTCTCCTGGAGCAGCTGAGCGATGGTGGGCGCCCGGGCCTCCTGCAGGTCATCCCCAACGTCTCCTGCAATGCCTGATGCTGAGCTCTTGCTCTCCTCTTCGGAGAATTTCCCTGGGTAATCTGGTGAGAAAAGTCAAAAAAAACTTATCAGGTATTTGGGAGACAGAGTGATGTGAGAAAGCATGGAACTATTTCTGTGTCTCCACGAGTGAGAGCAAAGGAACGACCATCAAGAACTTCCCTGTTTGGTACAGTGGACAAGAAGAAATTGAGCACTGCAATATTCCTGATACATTTGAAGGGACAGTCTATGAAATATAACACAGCCAGAGGCTGATGTTAATGAGGAAGGAGGAAAACACATGAAACCACCAACAAAAGTAAAACAGACACAAATAAAATAAGACCATGAACATTAAGTTACTAATGGTGGCGCGAGGTGCTCGCTAAAGCGCATCAGGCTCCTACCGTGTCCACCAGCTCTGCAAGGCGGCAGGGCCACGAAGGACACTGGTGTAGGGGCATGCCTTTTCTGAACCACACTCTTCTTACTCTGTGCTCATGTGGTTGGATTTCTAAGGACTGATTATCTGGTGATTTTTCCCCACAAAAATGGACTTAAAAATCAGTATGTTTTTGTTTTTTGAAGGGGCTCCCTTTCTGGGGGCCTCAGTTCTATAGTTCCACATGAGCTTTGCAATTCAATCTATGGCAGCAACCCTTGGTGGCCTGGGGCGAGGAAGACAGGTATTATCACAGACTGGCTCCTTCTGGGTCAGTAGGTGCTACAAGTTGACCTACTTGCAATTCAGCTTCTCTGTGCTTACTTTAGTCAGGGTGCAAATTTTAATATGGGTTCCCAGGCCTTCCCAAGATAGTCACTAATCACTATGATTAAACCCAAAAGGTGGGGGCTCCCCGGTGGTGCAGCGGTTGAGCGCTGGGTTGTGAAGCTGCCCGCAGCCTCTGAAGCACCGGTTCGATTCCCGGCCACCAGAGAGGGTCCCACATAATGCGCAGACCTCTCCTGCCGCCCACTGCTCCCCTCAGCAGTGTACTTCATTGGTCTGCCTGTTCTGTTCCCTGCTCTGGCTCTGCTGAATTCTCTTACCCTGCCACGCTTCTGATTGTACCCAGTGCTTGCATAAATAAATAAATCAATCTTAAAAAAAAAAAACAAAAACCAAAAGGTGGAGGAGTTTAAAAACAAGAAGAAGGCAAGTAACGCCAGGGAGCTTATTTTAGCTCCTCTCTCTTCCCCTCTCTTTCCCACTGTCTCAGAAGGGAGAGGTATGCCGGTTTAAATCCCCGAATCCTATGCCCACCAAGCACTGGGTCAAGCGCCAACAGGGGTTTATGGCTTTTTGGGTATTTTTTTGATGAAGGATAAATGAACTATTTCTTGTTCACCCTAATATGATTCTGTTGTGTCTGAAGAAGAGGACAGTTAAAAAGGTTAAATTTCACCTGTTATAGCTCAGGATCTGTAAATCATTATATTTAAATCTCTACAAAGCACACACACAGAAATCTCAGGGTTACTTAGATTCTCAACATTTAAAAATTCCTTCTAACTTGAAGCTTTATCTAACATTCTCCTATTTAAAAAGATCCAATCTGTATTTTTGTTGAGTTTGCTGTAACTTTGCTTTTACTTCTGTAGTGGTACTAAGAAGAATCTGAAGTACAGGCACCAATACTGTCAAAGGATTTTGACAAAGACATGTATAAATGGTGCTTCCCTTGCTCGCCTCACTAAGACCAAATTCATCTGTATTTGTGTGGGGTTTCTGGAATTAACTGCACCTGTATTCAATTACAGGTTCATGGTGTTCCCAGCCTGTTCTACTTGACCAATTTGAAGCACCTTATCTAGCAGAACCAGAACTTATGTCCCCTGATGCCACAGCCAGCATCTATCGGGCGAAGCACACAGGCCCGGGCCAAATCACCTGGCTGGTGCTGCAAAGGTGCTGTGATTATCTGTAATCAGACACCTGACTCATTTTCAGACTGAGGCCTGCAACCTCACAAATGGTGAGGTGTTTCAGAAGCCATGGAACTCTTAACATCTCCACTCCCCTCCCTGTCATGTGAGAACTGGCTTATGCAAAATGCCACAAGATCCTATGTACAGTACCTTGGTTATGGCAGCTTCCCTCTCTATCATAGTCATCTTTACTCTCAAAATCCATGTCTTCTGATTTGAGCTCACTTCCTTCAGGAGGATATGGAAGGAAACCTTTCTTCCCTTCTGCACTGTCTTTCCAAGGTTCTTTTAAAAGTTCGTGCTTTACTTTAAATAGCTCTGATGGAATAGCAGTGGGTTCAGCCTCCACTGTGATATTATTGACTTTGTTTTTGTAGATATCTGGGCTATAGCCCTTGGGTTTATCTAATTCAAACCCATTGTTCTCGAGGCCCCGTGTCCACCTTTCCATGTGCTTGCAGTGACACTGACAAGACGCTTGAGGAAAAGCCCTCTGCACTGCAGGACCTGGGCTTGCAACCTCCAGGCTTCCTTTTGTGGCTTCATCTACATGGAAGCCTCGGCTCTTCTCCCTGTGCATATTAGTGCTGGGTTCCATAGGAGGCAGGATCTCTGGCCTTTCCCTCAGGCCTCCTGCATTGCCTGAGTTTTCCTCCTCGTTTTCTTCCTCTTCCTCCTCCTCATCGCTGTGGTTCTGACTCAACATCAATTTACTTTCTAAACTTTTGTTTTCCAATAAATCAATTAACTGCTGATCTGATGACAGGTTTCTTTTGGAGTCACAGACACTAAGATTGCACATATCTACAAACCCACTCTCACTGCCTTGATCCAAGGAAGGGGTGGCTAAGCATTTGGCCTCCAGCTGTCCAAGGCTTTCAGGTCTCTGCCTCGACTCACTGCAGCACAGTTCCCCTTCCTTTGAAAGAGACATCAACAAATGTTTTCCATTCTTAAGGTTCATCTGAGCTACTCCTGCTTCTAAACTACTCATAAGAGAGGGTCCTGAAACCATTTCTGTCTCATGGCCACCAGGATGGCATTTCCCATCTTTGCTTGCTGAGATGGCAGCAGCATCTTTTCTGGGTTCTATAAGGGTACTTGGGCTCTCAGGAAAAGAACCTGGCTCTCGGCCTATGGCCTTCTTACTGTACATCACGCTCTCCAGGGACTCAGGCAGCAGGCTTTCATCATGGGTGATGGAAATGACATCCTGGACTTTAGAAATAAAGTTTTCACAAGTCATGTCAGATAAGCTGCCCCCAGGTGGACCGAGATCATCTCTACCTTCTATTTTCACTAGGTTCTCAGGTTCATTTTCAAGGGACTCCGAAGTCCTGCTCAACTGAGTATATGTAAGAGATTCATACAGTTTGGAATTGGTCTGGTAAAGGCAACAGACACTTTCTGGTGCCTGGATGTCAGTTCTTTTATGCTGGGCATAGTTTCTGTAGGCGTCTAGGAAGGACAGCTGGGGGTCAGTCATGATGTAGTAGTCAGTGCGGTTCAGCCCATGTTTGGCAGTGCCGATGAGCAGGTCCCGGTCATGCTTCCCACACTCCCACCAGACTGGGAGGTAGAGGCTGGGCCTACAAAGCTGAAGGCGTTCATGCAGTTGAGGACACTTCAACACTTGCTCGCGAACCTTCCGTAACAGTTCAATGCGATATAGAGTCCTTGCAGCCCGTTCCTCGGTGATGGGTTCAACGTAGATGGTGGGGTCTGGGGGAACTGGAAAGATAAATACAGAGCTTATCATTTAAGGCATCTTTTATCTGCTTAATTCCCTGGTTCCTTAGCATGGCAACCTTAAGGCAGATGTTTCCCCTGATAAAAATGGAAAGCCAGACAATGGAAGGTTTTTATGAAACAAGGGCAGCTATAATGTAACTATTCCTTGAAAACAAGCATGTTCTTTCCTTATCTCATCTGGGACATACTGACAGGAGAGCTTTCTCACCACCATCTTTCCATGCGGGTAGGCGACAGACATTGCGGCACATGGCCACAAAGCTGTAAAAATAGTGTTCCAGGCTCTCATCTGACTTCTTATCCAAACGGGAAATGATGCGAAACTGTGTCCAGTCAAAGGTTTTCTTTTCTTGATCATAAACAACACCAAAGGATGACACTGCTCTGTAGAAGTCTGCTTGCTCTCTTCTGGTCCACCTGAGATTCAATCAGAAAGGCAAAGTGAGCTGTCTTCCTGCTTTAAAAAATAAGCCAACAACTACTTGTTGAGCACCTACTGGAGAGCCCATGAAGTCAAGAATGCAAGTAGAGCTGGTCTGCCTATTTATCATTTATTGTTTTTATTTACATTAAAATGGGCTGAGAGGCTTATAACAAAAATACCCCATCAGTCTACCATTTTCAAATCTTTCAGTTCTTTCTTCTGGTATTTACCTCTCTATTTCAAATGTGTACACACTTGCTAACTCATGATTTTTCAATTTTAGAAATTACCTAATTTCCTCTTGTGGGAGATAAAGATTTAAAAAATACTATATAATTAAATATTATGCCTTATTTTTCCCAGTATAAGAACATAAAATCATAGTGCCCTGGAGGGGCCTTTCAAATCATTAAATTCACCGCCTTCATTTTACAGAAGAGGAGAGAAGTGGCTCCCTCAGCTGCACATTCTCCCTGAACCACTCTCTCAACTTTGCTTTCCTCCTGGTTTCATGTAGGTTGGTCAGGGTACAAAAGCTCTAGTCTTTACATCATGTAGGGTTAAGACAGTGACTTAAGGGAAACATAATATAAAGCACCAGTCTTCCTGAGGGGCTCTTGGGCATGCTTCTTTCCACCCGAGGAAGTCAGGCCAGGGATGTGCAAGGGGTCAACGGAAAAATGAAAAGCAGGGAAGAGGGGGTTCTGGTTCTTCCCTCTGGAGCTGTAACAGATGGGAAGTATTTTCCTGAACGGTCAAATCTCACAAAGCCAAAACAAGTACGTAGAGATAATTAAATTCATTATATGAAGTTTTTTTTTTTTTAATTCACTGGATATTACATCAAAGGGATGGGGAGATACAAAGACTGAAGGAACTGCAGATTTGTTATATTTTCTGGTGGCCATCATGCCTCGTCTGCCCTGACATTCTGTAGCTACTTTTAGCTTAATTCTCAGATGGGCAAGTAGCTCCTTTATTCCTTTCCTCTCAGCATGTTATGGTACTTATTGCTCTCAGAGGCTTGACAAGGGTTGGTAGTTACATTAAGATAGTTTCAAACCATACTATTCACTCTGCTGCTAAAAAAGCAAATATATGCCAGTGTGGTGTCTTTAAACTTCATTCCCAGAGTCCAGGATCCAAAGTAGGAAAGAGGGTCAAGTTAGAAAATCCTAAAAGTGGGCCTCCCCTGGTGGCACAGCAGTTGAGCGCTGGGCTGCAAAGCTGCCCAAAGCCTCTGCAGCGCCGGTTCGATCCCTGGCCACCGGCGAGGGTCCCACATGGTGCGCAGACCTCTCCTGCCACTCGCTGCTCCCCTCAGCAGTGTACCTCAGTCCTTCTGCCTGTTCTGCTCCCCGCTCTGACTCTGGTGAATTCTCTCACCCTCCCACGCTTCTGACTGTACCCAGTGCTTGTATAAACAAATAAATAAATCTTAAAAAAAAAAAAAAAGGAAAATCCTAAAAGTCTGGGAAGTGTAACCAGAAGGTGTCCTAGAACTCATTAACTGCCCCAGTCAGCATCACTCGGATGTTGGATTTAATTACACTGCATATGAGAACACTTCCTTCCAGCTATCAGCTTGACTTTTTATTTGAGGGCAGTTCGACATGCCCTTTTAGACACTGGCTTTTACCTCTTTTGGGCTTCCTTGTTGATGAGATCCATTTCTGAGGTTCTCCTGAACATCTCGTCCTGGACCCAGTATCCTTGGTTACTTGGTCCCAGAATTTCAGGTCGGCAGAGCTCCTTGCGGTTGCAGCGCTGGTATACAGTGACCAGACGTCTGAGACGAGCTGTGAGAGCAGATGAAACTGGCCAGGGCGATTTGTCTGGGTCGGAGCCATCCTGGGCTTCAAACATCAGAGAGGATATTAGTATTTACAAACAGAACCAAAACAAAGGTGATGTTGCTATTGTTGCTGTTTTGTTTTTAATAAAAACAAAGCTGATTCAATAACCTAGTAGCTGCTGTCTCATAACTAGCACAGGAGTTAGGCAGAGCTGCCAGGGCTGCAATCTTGCTTTAGAGAATGTTTCAGGCTGTGGCCGGCTCTGTCAGCTCACACAAACAAATGTGCCTAGTTCTGTGGAGGCAGAACTGATTGGAGGACGTTGTGGTAAGGAATCTGAACAAGTAGACTGGTGGCCTTCTCTGTATACAACTATAAGCTTTTGTGTAGCTGGGGCTTCCAAATGCCAAAGCATTCATTAAATTTGAATTCAGAAAGATAAACAAAATAAAGCAAAGCAAACCAAACCAACCCCCCTAACTTTTTCCAAAAAGGAAAAAAGAAAAACAAACAAACCAAAAAAACCCCCAAAAATCAAATCAAGGAAACCACGATTCCTTTTTTATCTCTCAGACTTCAGTCTGATCTCAGGTATCATCATTTTCTTCACTTCTGACTTTCAATGGCAGGTGGAGGGAGGTTGTCAGAGCCACTTTAAAGTTTGTGTGACTCCCACAGTGTGAGATGGTCAACTTACTTGGCTTTTTATAAAAGAGCCTCTTTAAAAAACATTAATTTTATTACATTTGAACTCCAGGATAACTACAAACTGGGACCTTACTTTTCTTTGCCTTCAGAAGGACACAGTCTCACCTGCCCGGCTGTCATCCTTCTTATCACCAAAAATGCCATCACCTCCATCACTGGAACTCTCCTAGGGGTAAATGAAGCCATCCCATCAGTAAAACTGCAGCACAGAAGAGACTACCTCAGAAGCCCCTACCACAGAAGGAGCCATCTTTTGCCCATGAACAAAGGCCAAGACAGTCCTTGATAAAGCTTACAGTTTTAAAAGTCATAAAGCAGTTAATGTAAAATAAGCATTACTTCCTGGAATTATGAAATGATTCCACCTGTAAAGAATTAGTTTAAGAAATGATGAACTGGGACCCTCTCCTAGACAATTACATTTTACCAGCACTATTTTAGCTGTGAATTTAAATATTTGTTTTACCATCATCACTTGCAATTTAATACTGCCATTTCACAAAGGCTGTGCCTACATTTTTTTTTTTTTTTGCTTTGAAGAAGTACCATGTTCATGCTCATTATAGTTAGCTTACTTCACAGCAACAGACGCTATTTTCCTAAAACATGACTGCTCCAGACATGAGACCTGATGGCGCAAAGCCCTAGAAATTCAAATTTAAAATCATGATTTGAGGCTTCAAGCAAATCTGGAGTAATATCACAGGCACAGAGCTTATCCAAGTTGGACCATTTGACAAACTGGCTCTAATGTAATCCTTGACCCACCCTTTCCTTGTCTCAGGAATGGAACTTTAAAAGTTCCTTCTGGAACCTATAGAGCAGCTATGTAAACAAATGTTACCTCAATAAAGAACACACCATTAGGATATCTACTATCAAAACAAACAAAAACCTGAAAGATAACAAGGTGGGCGAGGATATGGAGAAAGTACAACTCTGTGTACTGTTGGTTGAACTGTTAAATGGAACAAGTAGCTATGGAAAACAGCATGGGGACTCCACAAAAATTAAAAATTGTATTACCTTTGGAGTTTAACAATCCACTTTGAGTATATACCCAGAAGAACCAAAAGCAAGGTCTCAAAGAGATGTGTGCACCCATTTAGGAGCTCGTGGGCGGGAGTAGAGACAGTACTATTTCTCAAAGGGACACCAATTTTTAGAAGAAAACATCACTTTTTGACTCTTATTTTTTGTTTGACCTAATGAAGGGAGGAAACTACCTAGCATCCAAGCCATGGCAGAGCAGAGGAGAGGCAGAGGCAGAGAGCAAGGGCCAGCTAATCATGGTCTGCAGAACATTTTTGTGTGGGCCTCAAGCTAGAAATGGTTTTTTACATTTTTAATGGTTTGGGGGGAAAAGGAGGAAACTATGCACCAAGACTAGCTGTGGTCCCCAAGTCTAAGATATTTTCTATCTGGTCATTTGTAGAATAAAACTGCTGCCTTCAGGATTCGTACTCACTACAGTGAGTAGGAAGCTAAAACAGGAGGAACTGATGGGCACCACAGCCTCAATAAAGTTCACAGAAACACTCTCTTGAGCCTAATACCATGGAAGAACCTGAAAGTAAAAACTATGAAAAGGTACACGGGGCCAGCGGTGCATTTTCTGAATGCATCTCTCTCCCCAGGAGTGCTAGAACAGCTAACTCACTGAGAACCAAGTTACTCGGGCACTGTGGAGGACCCTCTCCATGGCTTAGTTCAGTGACCAGAGCTGCCTCCCCAGGGAGAAGTGACTACTATCCTCATTTTACAGACACAGAAAACAAGCCCTAGAGAGGCTCTGTAGCTGCCCAAGGTCAGATGGCTGGCTGGCTGCAGAGCTGGCTTTCAAACTCAGGCAGTCTGATCCGAAAAGCCTGTACTTTCAACCATTAACTGATGGGGGAAGAGGCAAGTAAAAAGAGCTGCTGAAGAGCTGTCTTGGGGAATGAAACGTAAATTGAGAATTGGAGAATACCAGCTTAATCTCCCTTCCTCGGCCCAAACCGCTTCCCGCCCTCTAATGACAGAGAAGATGCAGAACCCCAGGTAGATCTCTTATGCTATTTTGAAGCAGATGCCATGTTTTTCTACTATTTAGGTTAATTAAAAAAAAAAAAACAAAAAACTGGCATGCTTTATAGCCTTTCCTGCCACAGCTAACATTTTTTACTATTGTCACAGTATCCATGAAGATCCTTTGAAAGCTGAAATTTGTAAACACAGCCACCTTTAGACTGAGAAATGTCCTAAAGCCTATCAAATGTGGGAGTTGGGTCCTGAAGCTACAATTCTCCTTCTTGTGAGTATGAGGAGCTGATGTTGGCATCACTATGCCCCACATCTGCAGGGGTAGCTGCAAACTGGTGTGAGGTGGACACACACGTACTCAGGGGTCCCTTCCAGTCCATCTAACAATTTCTGCTGGTGTATAGCTAGTAAACCTGAGTGACACTAGGTAAACCCAAGTAAGGAAAGATTCCATACCAACAAATGCCTTGTTCCGGATCCTGCCCTCTCTTGGAGGTGCTTCCTCTCTTTAGAGATAACAGAATGGAGAAACCCTGGTTTACTAGTAGCCTGAGGGAGAGATGCCTTAACCTGAGAAAGCAGCCCGCTTACTGTGAGTGCGTGATGCGCTAAGGCCGTGACAGACTCGGATCAAAAGGAGACCAGAGAGCCCAGCCCCTGAAGTAGCAGTCTAATATTTAGTATCTTATCTTCTGCCTATATGCATGAACTGGAAGAAAGGTTCACCTTAGAAGAGATATGAATCAATCTTTGCAGAGTGAAGAGTCCCAGAGAGTGCTGACAACAACATCAAAACAAAGGCAAGTGGCTATAAAACCCAATTTCTCCATCTTGAGGACACACAGGGTGAGTCCAACAGTCCACCGCACTCTCTAGTAAGCCCATTTGCAAAATAGAGATTATAATACCCTATAGGGTGATAGTGGGGCACAAGTAAATCAACTATGTAAATGTGTAACCAAACCCTAGCACAAAGCAAATGCTCAACAAATGGCAGCTGGGATGAGGAAATACTAATAAACTATGCCAACCACTAAATAATCACTCAACATTTCCACCTTTCAACTATAATATGTACTCTAAGGAAGTCTTTATAATTAAACAGCAAAGACAACAAAGGTCTGTTGAAACCCAGGTAAGTAAACTACCAGATACTGTGCCAGATACTGTACTGAGTACTTTATAAGCATTTACACAGGAGGAAATTGCCAAAGGGGAGGCTGATAATATCTAGGACCACACAGTTATTAAGTGGTGAAGATGGAACTAAAACCCAGGTCTGACTCCAGAGGGTGAGCTCTAATCAGGGCACAGTATTGCCACTGGTGGGGGGAATTCACACTGGGGAAAATCAAAACCACTGTCAGTAACCAATAGCAATGCAAGTCGACTCTGGTTACTTTTCCATGGAGTTACAGAGCTGTTTCCTTATCTGAATACAGACAGTCCAGTCTGCCTTGCATGTGGCTGGCTGCTCCTTTAGTCCTGACTGCCTCTCCCTTCTGGAAGTGATGGCAGAGGTAACACAGACCTGCTGGACCTTCAGATTTAAGGAATCTCCTCTGCTCTGACAAAATCCTAGGGCCAATGCAACAGGTGATGAGCTGTCTTCTTACACTTAGGAAACACTGTCCCGTTTGTCAGGAATTCGCTAGGCTCAGTAGTTTCAACAGTGGAAGAGACACAACCACCAACCTGGTGGTTATGAGAGACATAAATAAATACTGGCCACACAGAGTGATTGATAAGTGTTCCTCAACATAGTGGGAAAACAAAAAATTTCCCAACTCTGGCAGGCCTAAACTGAGTAGAGGAAGGACAACTAACAGGTGACTTTTGAGCTTCATATTGAAGCCTCATATTGCTGTTTTCCTCTTCTCTGGGTTGTGGCTCCTCCCGACACTCGCAAAGATGCAGCTCAGACCCATGGAGATTGACCCCAAGATACTGAGCAAAGTGCTGGCCCGGGGCCCTTCACTGACAAGAGGTCAATCCTAAAGTGTATGTCATGAAGCAGACCACTGGGCACACCTGTAGTACCACAGGACTTAAACACACAGTGGCCAATAACAAAGACAAAGTAGAATGTGAGGATGGGTCAGTTCTGAAACAGTTTCTCTCTGAAACAGGGCTGTTCTCTGAAGACAGAGCAAAATGCTTTGAAAAGAATGAGGCCATTCAGGCAGCTCATGATGCCGTGGCACAAGAAGGCCAGTGTCGGGTAGATGACAATGTGAACTTTCATTTTATTCTGTTTAACAATGTGGATGGCCACCTCTATGGACTTGATGGAGAATGCCTTTTCCCGTGAACCACGGCACAAGTTCGGAGGACACACTGTTAGAGGATGCTGCCAAGGTCTGCAGGGAATTCACTGAGCTGTGTAGCACACAGCTGTCCTCCTTCGGTTCTACAGCTATACCATGCCACTAGCAGTGCTCACCTGCCAATAGAGCAGAGTTTGGTGTAAGCTTCAAATGGTGAAGCCTCCCACCACAGCACATATGTCCTATACCTCAATATCCAATGCTTTAAATGGCTATTTAGGTTTAAGTTAAGACCATGAATGTGGTTGGTTTGTCCTTACAAGGAGTAAAACTTTTCTGCTGATAAGAAAAAAAAAAAAAAAACATACTGAAAGAGTTCTCTATAACACATCTCTGTGTAGAGGCAACAGGATGGACAAAAGCAGAATTTAAAAGATCCCTTGACAGTTTTCATTTCACAGGAAAATCAAGTATTCCTGCATAAGCTTCATGCAGAAAATAGAGGCACATCAAATGTCATTCACATAAAATTCAAGGACTTTATTATGGAAAGGGCACAAGATTTAGATTAAGATAGGAGCACGGGAGACACTGCCCTTGCGTGCTCTAGCTGTGGGACTGTTTCTGGAGCTGACTAAAACTAGATTTCCTCCTCGTTACAATGGGGATAAGGATATTTCCTAACTGAAGGCAAAATGTGTTTTGTCAGCTTGGAAGTACTCAAGTTTAAATATTACTACTATTTGGGATCAGAGACCCCTTAAACACTTAACTCACGAGAAATGTGCACCTGTTCAGTTCCTAACTGAATTTTTCTTACAGCTGGATTTGACCATTTAAGGCTTTAAATTTCCCTGCAAGAGTTTTTTGTGAGCTT